GCATAACAATAACATTTGAAGGATCTATAGGTGCTGACAGCTGACAATGATTTTAATGATAATAACCCTAATGAAAACAAACAAACTTAATTACATATTTATTTGATGCATCAACAAATCAGCAGATAAGATTAACAGGGCCACATGATAGTAAATAAATATATGTTACCAATTCCACGAATCCACGCGAAAAGTTAATAGGGTATAGTGTCAAAATTATAACAGTGTTCCCACGCGCAGACTATTATGGAATTAGCGATTTGAAATTAGTGCGGTTCAACACACAAGTAGGCATGCTACAAGCAGAAAAAGCCACTTTTTTTTTTTAAAAAACAACAGTAAATAATTATAAACATAACAACCCAAGTGCTTACATATGCTTTTATTGTTCTGTTGGTAAACGCGGCATATTGTGGTTATCTGTGGGAGATAAACTAAATTGCATTGCCGTAATTAGCATATGTATCAACAATTGACAATTTCTGTAATAAAATAATAATTTACAATACAACTGATAATATACATGCATGCATAACTATGTGCCGTTAGCTAAAATGACAACTAAGAAAAATTATCATTCCATAACCGGGTGTGCTTTATGTTTTATTAGTTGTTATATGTACCTAGAAAAGTACCTGTGTGCTTTAAAACTGAAAACTATTAAATATCTTTATTGTCGTCTAATATTTTGCATTTTCTGTGGCTGAGGAGCAGCTTATTTGAAGCTAAATGGAAACTCTTATATGGCTTTTGCACTTCCACATATGCGTGATATTATGAAAAAAAAAATTGTAAATATAAATAATTTTTTTGTATATACATATGTATATGATTCATAATTATATACTCACACACACCGCAGCTTTTTTGTCATACTGCTTGCAATGGAAGCAATAAGAGGTTACTCATACGCCGCGTTGAGCCATTCATTGCGGCATAATTTCATTTAGTTGCTTATTTGCGCAAATCAATATAAGTTTTGTTTATTATAGTTATTGTATTGTAAATCACAGATATTACAGTAAATTTCAGTTAATTTTTGCAATTTAGACCTCGTAGCTTTGGAGCTGAAGCACAAAAATGATCGTACTGTCGCCAATAGTTAGTCTCTTTGAGATCTTTATATCGTCGTTGTACTTAACGGCACAAAAAGACATTTAATTGTTATTGTGTAGTTGGAATAAATTATATTTTTAAAGCAGCTATACTGAAATAAATATAAAAACCGTTTGATCTAACAGTGAATTGTTATTGGTTTTTCCAGATATCACCTATTTGTGTAAATTATCAGCACTTTTTTGTGCATACTAACACTTTTGAAATATCGATATCAATATCTGTCTGGCTGCTTATGTAAATACAGTCATATTTTGATGGTTTGTTCTATTATTTATGTATGTGCGTAATTGCGACTCAAGTTTCGCGCTTACTCTGGCTATTAACTGATATTTTACTAAGCTAGAATGAACTTATTTATAGTTATAGGTGGGTTATGGAAGTTGGAGTCATTCACGTAGTTCTGATACGATGATATTTATTTCACTATTATTTGTTTAAATCTAAGTTCGCTTAAGCAAACAATATTTTTCCATCTTTGCACTTAAGCTGTTTTTCTCTTTAATCATATTTATTTGCTTACAAGTCGTTAAGTGTCTACGACTTTTATATTTCTTCTTAAATTAAAGTTTTCTGAAATAATTAATTCATCTAATTTGCTACAGTGCGTAAATTAAAAGTAATATACACACACACAAAATGTATGTATGGTGAATAGCACGTAATGGCTGTGGGAATATACACAAAATCGAAGTTTAAGACTGCAGCTTAGTACATTAAGCAAAGTTTTGCGATATTGAAGTTAGATGCGAATTTTATGCCGTTATTTAACACAGAGTTGTTGTAGTTAATATTTTTGATAACAGTTATATAGGCTTACGTTCTTTACTCAAAATTTACACTGGTCTTTAATAGTTAGTATTTAATAAATTATTAAAAATATAAATACTTCCAGAATTATATTTAAAAGTTTTACTCATGTAGCATTAAGCCAACGATGTCTATATAAATTTAGTGTGCATCGTTTTCTTGGAATTTTGAAACAGGTATGCACAAGTAAAATTGCAAACAAGTTTCTCAAATGATACTTTTAAAAAAGTGAATTTGATAAATTGCAAATAAAAGTAAAATAAATACAAATGCATGCAGACACAGTGACAATTAATCTCTTTTTTTCCAAAGGCTATATAAATGTACGTATGTTGAACGCGGTAATATTTTTGTCAGATGTTTTTGCAATATTTGTATGTGTATTTAGAATAATTAGTATTGCAATATATTCGTGTATATTAAATATCTCGTAAGTGATAGTCGTTTTATACTTAACTCGTTTCTTATAAACTCCAGTTATAATATATTCATTTGGCACTCTAGATGGATTTACGCAACGTGTATACACCGTTAAATAAACTTTCTGAAACCACGGTAGCATTTCTCAACATATGTATGTATATGAATAAGTACACATGAGTTTTGTGCATAATATTCTTGCCACAACTACATCAAGTAAGAATAGTTTCTGAGGTGTTGCTATTTCATTATTATTTATGAGTATAATTTAAGGGACACATCTGGTGTGAAATAAAAACATATTTTGTTTTCATATTTCGATAGGATATACTTGTAGAAATAACATACCACAATGCTTATAAGGTGTAGCCTCTCAGTTCAATCAGCTCCAACAGTTATTAAACTTTGCATCTACAAATAGAAATACACAATCTAATTTCAAAGAATAATAAATGAAACAAGCATACTCTTAATTTAAGTTACAAATTTTTGGTTTCCCGGTTGCTTCATTAATAACGTCAAACCAACACGTTTGGTCGCTTAAGAAATTAATGAAAATTTCAATATGTTTCCAATAGTTGTTATAGTTATTTATACTCCACGCTGTAACTATCTATAGATGTGAGTAGACGATAGTAAATATCGCGGCATTTTAATTTTGAAAGAATTGCAAATTTTAAACCAGTTCCTTAAGCTTCGTCATCTTCTTCGTTTTGACCCACACGCGGTGTTAAAGCGTGTGATTCTGAGAAATATATTCACGCTTATTCATACATAGATATTTCTCTAAATTAGTATCATCTTCATACATATATATTTATAGACTAGTTTTTTAAACTATTATAGTCTAGTTTTTTATTATATTTTCCCGTTGAATAAAGTTATTTTGCACACGCTCTGTTAGTTACCAATCGTTTCGTTAACATATTTAGCTTTGTCGAAAGTTCTATCTTTTACCTTTTGAATATTCGCTTTCACCAATAAATTCTCAAATAATAAATTAAAATTCATAATATGTGTGTGAATTAATAATTAAATAATGATTTTCTTGAATTCTAAGAAATTTGTGCAAAAGACTGATTTTTGTTCGCTAATTATTTTTGCACAAAGTTGCATGACAATTCAAATTGGAAGCCTGCAGTTTAATTTTTGACAAAATACTGGTCATTAATTACAAGTAATCCAAAAATCTGTTTATTTATATTTTGCCCTTTAAATATTATGAAATTTCCAAGTCAAGTCACTATTCTCATACATACATATATTATAACTGTCACCCGGTAGGCGAGTGCCTCTAATGCCTGTTTTAAGATTCAAAATCTGAATGAAACAATCAGAAATATCGAGTAAACTGGCTATTCATTTAATAAAAAATGTAATATCTGTATTATATGTATAAGCTTGTTATTTTTTTCGAGTCCATTATATTTCGAAGAAATCAACACATTATATTGATAAAAAATAAATAAAATTTTTTTATAAACAATTTGCTTTCCTAAATTTATTATTCAATTCTTAGTATTGCCGAATGATTGTGAGATCTCTTTACGTACGTAAATGAAAATAAGTATCAAATTTTGACGCAGCACTCGCATAGTACGAAAGAATGAGTAACGCAGCAACGATGCTGAGATACCCTACATAAGATTAAAAATTTGTGGTGAATTTTTTTATGGAAGTATACTGTCATATTATGATAATAAATCGTAATTGAAAAAAAAACTCTTCATTCAAGACCTTGTAAGTTATATTTCAAAGACCTTCGTAAAATTTTGAGATCGGTTGAGTATGTTGCGAGTAATCTGGGCAACCGACTTTGAAAATAGTTTCGAAAAAAACTTTTTTTCAAAACTTTTCGCCCACAGGTGCCACTTACTACTACGATCCCCTGTGCAAAATTATCTGAATTTAATCAACCGTTAGGTGAACAAAACTATAATTCTGTAGCAACATGTTGCAAGAGCATAAAAATGGTCTTGAAACAACAACAGCAGCAATAGCAACATGCATATATTAATACTTTATTTTTTTTTCAATCAGTTAGATTTTTAAATGAAATTATTTCAATCGAAACGTTTCAGATAAGCTTTATTTATGATGTGAATATTATTTAACTTTATAATTATTTTTATTTTATTATTACTTTAAGTATTATATGCAATTAAAGCTAGTTACTCTGAAAATAAGTTTAAGCCATTTATAAACATTTTCGTGTATAGGTTTTTAAGAAGTAAACATTCAGAAATATTCGCACAATATCTAGTTTTTCCATATTCACTAAAAACAGTCCGCATTATTTTAATCATAATAATGATAATACTTAAGTATTACGCAATAAGGAAACCCTTTTTTTACTAACAGCATTCATCTTTTTAATTAATTAATTGTTTTTTCATATATACTGTACGACACCTTAAGTTATTTTTATTTCAACTCTTACAACGAGAAAACGAACAATTTTTATTCGAAACTTTTTTACAAATAAATTTAATCCTGTGAAGCGCTAAAATATGCAAAGCTTTTTTTTACCTATTTAAACATTTGCGTAAACTCACATAGAGAGTTTGGTGATGCAACAAAAATTTATAAAAACCAGAAATTTCGCCCCTGAAACCAACGTTTCTTTTTTTCTACTTCTGATCTATTTCTTTTAGCCATATCAACGGTCCGGTGACTAAAGCCGAAGGCGCACTTCTGTCTCACGAACAGAATAGAAGCCAGTAAAACAGAAAATCCTAACGAAAATAAAAAAACGTTGATTCGTATAACTTATAAGCTATTTTCTCGAAACACTCTTTCACTCAACAAGTTTTCGCTATTTTCACTACTTATTTCGTACACACTAACAAACAATTCAAAAACTTACACCACCAAAAACAAGCAACCAACAACAGCAACAGTGAAATATAGACTTCGTGAAACCAAAAAAACGAAGCAGCTACTACAACTCGTTCCAACAAGCACGGCGTCCCTACGTTGTATTCAATACTCTGCAATTACTTCCAAACCACACGTGTCTCTGCCCCAATCATCGTCGTACGACCTACAGCAAGAGACACGAACACAAAATCGTCACGAAAATGTAAACCAAACGTTGGCAGAGCTAATTGCTGTACTCACGAAACCTATATCGTATAAATTAATAAAAATTTATAAAATATACAGAATAATTTAGAATTCATATTTGAAATAATTTTTAACAAATTTTGTTTATTCAAAAAAAAAAAACTGTGTGTGATATTATTGTTTTCATTTGTAATTTAGTATTAATTTTTAAAAGTAAACAATAAATATTGAAACCAAAGCGCCAAAAAGTATGTAAAAAAATTTCATTCACATAAAAAGCGTACGATATTTTTTGTAAGTTTTTTTATTAAACAAAATAGTTTACAATAATTGGCGCTTTAAGTTTCATTTGTACGCTTAAATAATTATTAATTATAATTAGTATACAAAACTTCATAGCGGCATAGTTTTTTAGCAAAATTAAATTGATTTCTATTAAAAAATATTTGCCTCTGCAGTGTAGTTAAAATAATTTGTTATATATAAAAAGATAAGTGCAAACATTTAAAAACCCCTTTCATTCAAATGACTTGCAGTTGGAAAACATTCTAAATAGTTTACCAATTATTTCAATTAATTTAATTATATTAATTAAATTTAGTATTCAAGAAAGTTGGAATCAAACTTTTTTAAGCTCACAAAAATGTGCACAGATTTCGATTCTTGCTCCGAAAATTCACACAGATTTTAGTAGCACTTAATGATAAGTAAAAAAAATAATTCCATTTATAAACTTTTTAAAATAAATATAACATATAATTATAAATAATAATAAAAACAACGAACACAAAATGCCGTCGCCGAGCAAGAAGCAAGCACAGCCGCATTTGTCTTTAATGACCAGCAGCAATGATGATGATTATATGAAATTAGCCGATGCTGGTATCAGCAATGATGCTTTCCAAGCGCCGCCACAAACACCACAAACAGCAACAACAAATATCTGCGATAGCATGGAATTCATTTCGGCCACACCAATTCAAAATCCAAATCCAAATTCAGTCAACACTAAACAACACACCAATCACACTGATGAATTAGTTTTAAGAAATAATAGCAAAAATAATAGCAACAACACCAATAAGAATGACAACACACCATACTACACCAGTAACAATGGCGTACCACATGGACACTATCGATATACATTGCCATTGTCACTGACAGCGCCATTGCCACAACCCTTGCCACCACCAATAGCACAACAAAAAGAGCAACAATTACAAAAAGTTTCGCAACAGGATGATAAATATAGATTATATACAATTTATGGAAATGGTGAGTTGCATAAACACAAATGTTAACATGAACAACAACAAAACACACGAACAAAATGTTGTGAAAACACGAAAAAAGTCTTGCTATCCATTAATATATATATATTTTTTTTTGCTTTTTCTACCTATTCACATCTATATATTCTATATTTGTATGTAATGCGCTTAAAAAATGTTGTGCCCTCCTCTGTACTATTTTAACTACTATTTTTATTTCCTCTTTGCCAAATGAACTTTACTCTTCCTCTTACTTTCTACTTCACTTTCCTTCCTAGCAAAAATTTACTATCTTAATGGTTAATGTACCCGAATAGACTATGTAGTAAAGTGAGCTTTTATTTTATTATGTACCGAAAAGTCACTTGCTAATCGCATCCAAAAATAATTCCAAAACTGAATAAAAAGCACCCGTACATTTATATATAACATTTATATTCGAATAATAAAATAATGAGCTAAAAAACTCAAAATTTAGCGAAAATACTCGGAACTAAGTTAATATGCATACATATGGATATAGTATATTATTTTTACTTTTTATTTTTTTTGTTTTATATATATGTACATATGTATGTTTTAAGTAGGCCTTTCATAACAAAGAAACAACTATATTTGCAAATCCCAAATATTTTTTCGCTTTTATATTATTTAATTATTTTTATATCATCTCACACATTATTTGTTAAAGATTCTCAAATAATGTGAGTTATTTTTAAATTACAAAATTAGTTTTTTTTACAAATTTTTAGACTTTTTTACTATATTTGCATGCAGTGTTTTGGTTTGAAGGTTTTGTATATGGTATATAGCGCTTAATTCGATTTTGAGAAGTTCTGAATCGATTTTTACCCAATAATTGTTTGCTTCAAAATCATATTTTATAGCATTTGTGAATAATTTATTGAAATATTTTTTTATGTAACTGAGTACAGGAATTACAGTAAATATTAAAACAATTTTAGAATTTATTAAAAGAAAACGTTGAATAATACATAAAATTTATATTAAGAGTATTCTACTAATTAAATATTTGTTAAGCTACAAAGTCATATTGAAAAAGTAAGGAAGGGCTAAGTTCGGGTATCACCGAACATTTTATACTTTCGCATGATAAAGTAATAATCGATATTTCATTATCCGTCATTTACATATTTTTTTATTTTGTGTAAAATTAATTAGATTAGTTCAAATTGTGTACTTTGAGTATTGAATTGTATTTTCATTGATTTTAATTGTATTGAAAAGTTATAGTCCGATCACTACAATTTTACCACAAAGGATACCTCAGTTCAAATACCGTATTTGTGTAAAGTTTTATTCCGCTATCATCATTGGTTCCTAATGTATATATTATACAGAGAAGGCATCAGAGGGAATTCAAAATAGCGTTATATTGGAAGAAGGCGTGGTTGTGAACCGATTTCACCCATATTTCGTACATGTCATCAGGGTGTTAAGAAAATATTATATGCCGAAGTTCATTGAAATCGGTCGAGTACTTCCTGAGATATGGTTTTTAAAAAAAGCATGGATGCAGCTTCCTTCTGCCATTTCTTCCGTAAAATTTAGTGTTTCTGACTTTTTTTGTTAGTCGGTTAACGCACTTTTAGTGATTTTCAACATAACCTTTGTATGGAAGGTGGGCGTGGTTATTATCCGATTTCTTGCATTTTTGAATTGTATACGGAAATGCCTAAAGAAAACGACTCTATAGAGTTTGGTTGACATAGCTATAGTAGTTTCCGAGATATGTACAAAAAACTTAGTAGGGGCGGGGCCACGCGCACTTTTCCAAAAAAATTACGTCCAAATATGCCCCTCCCTTTAATATCTTTATTTATGGCTTAGTTGTGACACTTTATAGGTTTTCGGTTTTCGCCATTTTGTGGGCGTGGCAGTGGGTCGATTTTTCACATCTTCGAACTTAACCTTCTTATGGAGCCAAGAAATACGTGTACCAAGTTTCGTCATGATATCTCAATTTTTACTCAAGTTACCGCTTGTACGGACGGGCAGACAGACATCCGGATTTCAACTCTACTCGTCACCCTGATCACTTTGGTATATATAACCCTATATCTGACTCTTTTAGTTTTAGRACTTACAAACMACCRTTATGTGAACAAAACTATAATAYTCTCYTTAGCAACTTTGTTGCGAGAGTATAAAAACTTTGTTATATTGAATGGGAAAATATAACTAAATATTCCATAATATTTTGGACCCCTGAACATGGTTCATTATTTATTATATTCTTAGTAGATTATTAAATATGTGTACTTGGTGCTGCCATAGGTTCTGTTAGAAGTTAAGATTGTTATAAAAATAGTTAGTTATTGTTTCATGACAGTTACATTTTATAATAAATTTTGTTTATTAATACATATCACGCACAGGTTCTATTATTGACAACGCTACTAAAAACAAGATATTTTGATACTCTCAAATTTTCGGTGCGGTATTCGTTAATTCATGTTTTCCAACTCTGATCATAAAATTTAGTTCAATGGTTTCAAATCTGGACTTCCAGACAGTCAATCATCAGTACGCTTTTACCCTAGTTTAAACTTCTTTGTCATAGGACTGAAGAAGTGTAACGCTTTTGCAAAAGTTTCCCAACCAACACCATTACATCAACTGGATGTTGACGTCATTCAACCCTTGACGAGGACTTTGTCGATTTGCTTATTAAAAACTTTTTCAATGGTGAATATTTTTTCATCTTTTCAGTTTTTATGACTGAGTTGGTTCGAATTATGTTACGCGAGAACTACCACTTTTCTGGGAAAGTGAGTAGTGAGGTAAATAAACATTCTCGAAATATTAAGTTTACTCAGAAGCTCATAAATTTCACTTGCGCCTTTTTCCACACTTATTTAAGACAATCATCGCAATGCGATTTTCTTTAACTCTCTACTCCACTTTAGCAAGCGAAAGCTAACAATAAACTGATTATTAAGTAATTAATAACAGAGCAACTGAACTTTTTTCTGCTAGTTATTACATTAAATTAATTTGTGTCATGTTTGTGATTCACGAAATCTTATAAAATCGAAGGAAAAAGTTAAATTACTCTATTATTTACATATTTACCTTTAAGTACAAGATTATAATTAGATAATTTAATTAATTATATTATAATTTATTTCCGAACTAGTTTTTAATTTTTTTGAGGTATCAACACGTGTGCGAGTTTTCATACAAACTGATCGATCAAAATCAAGTTTTGTTTGGAAATCTTCTCTCTTTGGCAATATATCTTCACAAAATTTAGTACAAAATTTAGCACAAATCATTTTCTAAGTCAAAACTACAATGATCGAGAGTAAATTGTTTAGATCTTGAATATAGCATGTAGCTGTCATTCACACTGATCGATCAAAATCAAAATAAAGATCTTTGTATACACTTTTACGCTTTGGGAAAGGAGGTACAACTATTTTGGAGCAGCCAAAGATAACGTTTTTCTTGTCTTTCTTATTTAAATAGCGATTTGTAATAAATTGTACATAAAATAATAATAATAGAATATTTATATTTATAAAACCATTAGTTATTTAGCAACTAAGTCGCTTTTTCGTACCGCAACTGCCACTGTTTATATTTCATAATGTGATTATTGTCATGTAAGTCGATTATTTTGCACAACTAATTAAAGTTTAGCGTGACTCAGAGCATCGGCAAAACTCCATGCATTTATTTTATCGATAAACGTGAAGTAGTGAAATTGTTTGAAAAGAAAGTATTTGAACTCAAAAAGTGGCACACACAAAAAATACCGAATTATCTGCTTACTCACACAAATACTTATATACACATTTTGATATATATATAAATTTGTGTGTGAGAAATGATAGGCCTTTGGGTTATTTTTATGTAAAATACAAGTTAAATGCACTTTTCGTAGAGCCTTATTTATCTATGCACGATTTTTGTAATTTTTCTCCTCAAATTGATTTCAATATTTACGAGTATGCACCTTAGTAATGTGAAATTATATATTTAATATTTTTAGATTTATTTTTATGACTACTTTTGTCTATGCACACGTTTACTTATCGTGATAAAAATGCAAATTCGCAATTTCGACTTATTATCTTTCGTTCTTTTTTTTCTCTCTCCCACAACATTTGTTCTTATTTCGACTAATCGTTTACAGATACCGACAATGACAAGTTGTCCGGTCTCCCACAATCGACGACTGGTTCACTAAGCTCAATCATCACGACGTCCATAGCATCCTCAGAACCAGATCCTGGCACGGGTGGTGGTGGTCGTGGTAGCGGAGGCGGGGGTGGTGGAGGTGGCAACAGTAGCATTGGCGCTTTAGATGCGAGCAGTATTGCCGGTGTGCCTGGCAGCAGTGATGAGAAGTTGGCCTTAAATCGACCAGGTATTAAGCAGGAGAAATGGTCTTCAATATTATTGCAAGTGTCGATACCGTTCTTTTTGGCTGGTGTGGGCACAATCGGTGCGGGTATTGTGCTCGGCCGTGTAGAGGTGAGTCAAAAGAAATTTCCCATAGTATGTTTGTAGTTAGTGTAACTATGTGATATTGCAAGTAAAATGCTAAAACTCTTTTTTAATTGCTTGTGTTTAGGTGGGAAAAATGCCAATGTCTCACGATTGTCAACTAAGTCCAATTTTTTTTTTTTTTTTTGTATTATTTACTACATGTTCATAAAGATGTCTCTGATAGATAGTGTATTTCAATTGTGTTTTTTTCGTGTTTTAGCATATTTAAAATCTTACAATACACGTGTGTTACGAAATTTCAATCCAAATGCGCAGTCATTTTGTGCATTTTGATTACGATTACTGGTACGATAACAATCCTGTAATCACTTGTTCAGATAATGTAATTATTCCTAAATTACAGGTATAATAAAAATCGCAATATTTAAATGTGCGATAGTTTTCTCCCACAAATGAAGTATTTGCGAACTCCATGTATACAGTTAAATAATAGGGAAGAGAAAATTTTTGTGAAAAATTATTACATATTTCCTTTAAGCTTTAGGGTTTATTTGTTTTTTATAATTCATTTAATTAGAGTCATATTAACGATGATTTTAGCTTATTTAATAATTTATAAGTCATTATTATTGGTATTAATTTTACCTAGGTACACATATATTTAAGAATATTACCAACTGGCAAAAAAAAAACATTTTCTCGTATTTAAGCCAATCCGAGTACAAGCATAGCAGCGTTTAATCCAATTTTCTATACACTTGTTATAAGCCTCGCATGAGATGCCCTTCAGTGAGTTTAGTAAATTTTTATTTTTGTCTATTTCGGCTCATTTTCGGAGCGCCATTCACAAGCTTTTTGGGCCTTTTCTACGTTTATTCATAAGCCAACATCTCATAACCAGTAATAATGCATTTGACGCAGGGTCCCTTGTCCCTTTTACGTCTACTTGACGTCGTTCTTGCAAGATTCAGTTATTTCTGTAGAAGTCTAGTATTGACATATTTTATACCAGAAACATTAACGAAAATTTATTATAAATCTATTTGGTAGTCGCAAAGTCTTTTCGTATTTATATTCAAACTTCAACTTTTTTTAAATGATTCAAAACCGTTTGATTGTGAATGCTAAGTTCCCTAGCGATGTAATGGCTGCTTATGTGACGGTCCTGATCAATCTTTTCCATTCTTTTCAACGATAGGTCGACCAGAGCGAGGTGCATCTTTCACATCGAAATTTCCAGAACGGAAGCGAACGAACTATTGTTGTGCTACACGAACTGATACAGCATCGTTTCCGTAAACTTCAAAAATTTCATTGGCGGCTTGCGTGGCATTCTTCCCTTTTTAGTACATAAATTTTAAAATATAGCAAATTTTTTCAGTATTTTCACTCATTTTTGAACAGCTGTAACTTTTTTCAATTTCCCCGAATTTAATTTTTGGTTAAATGAAGCTTAAAATCTCACCTTTCCAACACTATATGGTATGACACAATGTAATAGGTAGCAAAAAATCCGAAAATACCTTTTCTACTACCCAATATATAAGTATTTATCCAAGTGCCTTACACTTGGTAACCGTAGTCATATAAATAAGTATTCCTTTTTATAATTCACACAGCCAAATAAGCAAATATTTAGCATATTTCTTTATTGACATTTATCCCATTATTCTACTGGTGTAAGTCCTCATCGGCAAAAGGGGAACGGAAACTTCCAAACCTAGGTTGCATCAAAGTAAAAATCTCCAAAAAATTTGAATAATTAGCGAAAAATTAAAATGAACATGCATTAAATGCTATTGCAGCAATGAAAATTAATACTGATGATAATAATACATTAATATTAAAGCAGGTGTGGAATTAAAACTTTCTTGTCATAGGCGTAATCACATGCCTATAAATGCACATATGCCCTAAACTATATTTATTTATATATCTAGACAACGGGACGGCATATTATCTCTAAAAACAACACCTTTGCATGTTTGAGACTAATTTAATGACTACAATAGGCGTCAAATATGTACAGACATGCAAGTGTATATACTAGCACATATATCTATATATATTTCTTTTTAAGTCTCGTCACACTGATACGGTTTTATTTGACTATTTCCTACGCTTTTCCTCTAATAAAGAGTCAGAACTGATTGTGCTTTTGTTAGAGATTGCGCCACATCAAATTATGTGTATTAATATAAATTTGCTTATTGACATTTTCAGTACGGCGTGTTAAATCTTAAATAAATAATTATCTATACTCATCTTTGTACTCGGATTTTATTTGCGAGTGGAATATTCCGTTAAGGATTTATCAAACATTTGTACAAAGAGAGTTCCCACGAATTTAGGTGTTAAAAGGTGTATAAAACTGATAAATATTTTTGTTTGTGTTAAACATTTCAGAGAAATTTAAATCGCATGCATTCTTAGAAAATGCTTGTTGTCACCAATTGCTCCAAAATTTATATTTGGGTTTAGCACTTGTATGCAATAGACGTGAAATTTAAATCAGTTTGCACTCACTGCAGCAAACGGTGTGAATTTAAACTTGAGTCACTTTGAACGGTTGAAACTTAATGTGATCATAAGTACAGAAAATGTAAATAAAGGAGGAGTTTAGTTAGTGTATAACCGAACATTTCATACTCTTGCAACTTGCAGGATTAAAGTTAGGAAAATATCTTCAAGTATATAAGCCCTATTAATTATTATATAGGGTCTAAGGCTAGTTTTCATCCGAGTTTATTCATTCTAAGCACAAATATTCACCGTTATTAGAAAAGAACGCTATCTCACTTTTATTAAGATAACTCTCAAATTGACCGATATATAGTATGCGGTATAAAGTCACCTGAAAGCTCGAAAATCTTACATTGACCAATATTTTCGGTAAAAAGTCAACTATAGGTACCGATTTCGCCTATTTTCAGACTGAAACATAAGAATATCAGAAGTATATCACGAATTAAATTTTGTTGAAGTCGGTGCAGCAGATCTCGAGATATGTGATTTCACCTAAAAGTGGCCAATGCGAAGCTCATCGCCAAATTTTGACCCCGGACCCACACAATCTCGAGGACAAAATTCAATATCTCTGGCGTATTTAGTTATTTATTTATCGCCTTTTCAGTAATTTTTAACACCAACCTTTCATGGGAAGTGAGCGGGCTTGTCATCCGGTTTCATTCATTTTCACAATGTCGGTGAGAATTCTTATAATATTTGCGATAAGCGAATTTGGTTGCTGTAGCTTTAGTGCTTTAGGATATAGTATGTACATGAATCTAATTGGAGGGTGGCGCCACGCCACATTTAAAAAAACTTTTGCACACAGATGTCCCTTTGCTATTGTGATTCGCTGTGCCAAATTAGAGTTTTATATCTAACTTTAATGCTTAACTATGATACTTTATACATTTTCAGTTAACGGTGCTTTGTAGACAGAGAGTTACCCAGTCAACTCTTGTTTTTATTCGGATCATTTATATATATATGTATAACCCTATATATATCTCGATTAGTTTCAGGTGATACGTACAACCGTTAGGTGAACAAATGAACAAAACTATAACAACATGTTGCAAGAGTATAAAAATAAAGAACCAAAACATGTTCGAGTTAATAAACTAAATTACTAATACGCATAGTATAACCCAAACATAAGGAATGAGTGTATTCGGTTAGGTAAAAACAATTCAATTAAAATGTAATCATTTTTAAGTTTTAAGTTTTAAGTTTTTAAATAAGTTAAGCTCATAATAATCTCAATTTTGGGAGTTTTTGGCATGAAAATGTCCGTAGTAAGAAGCTTTGACTGCAAAACTCACTACCTAAGAAGCAACCATTTAGTAGAGATTCTCTACCAAACCCACCACACACATAGCAAAACCCTCTTGACCGACAATCCTAGCCTCACTCATTACGCCGGCTCAGCGCGATTCTACCGCTATTACTTTCCGATTTCCTTTGCCAATATTCGCGTTGTTTCTTTCTTTCAAAAGATGATCTATGATATCTTAAACTACATATATTAGAAACTGCAAAATTTGATACAAGATTATAGAATATTATGTCGATTACGCGTATGGAGGAACTATGGAAGTTTTGTTCATTTGTTGTAAAAACCTAAAGTCCTCCTTAACTGTCTCATAATCTAAAATTTCTATCAGTAAAATGCTAAATTAATAATAACTTAGCTAATGATCTTTTATCAGAGCTAACATATATCACGAAAACAATAAAAAATAAAAACCATAAGGCGGATGATCTTCCCGTTGCAATTGTCAGCTCATACTTGGAGAAATTTTCGTAGAGGTATCTTAAAACCAATTTTTTAAAGTACCAAGCGAAAAATGTGCATATATAATATATGTGCAAGCTTTTTATCTTCGCCTTGTTTTCATGAAATCTGGGAGCGACAATTAAATACTTACCATACTTTAGAATATTACTTATTGTGTAAATGTTGATATTTTTTAGTTTTTTAAGACCCTAAGTAGTAAGTGTAAGTGACTGATAATGTCCAAATTTCGAATCAAGTGGACGTGCAGACACTTGAACTTTATGTTAATACAAACGAAGGAATTGAAACTGCTGGAAACACTGGTTCTTTCTATAGTACGATTACTTTTGTATCATATTTTATCTAATACATTAAAGCTTCTGACGCATTAAAACGGCAAACAAAGACAGTGTGACATAAAATGACCTATTATATTTATTTGCTTAGATAAGTATTTTGATACCCTAAACAGGGTGTATTAAGCTTGCCACGTAGCTTTTATCCCCCAGAAAGAAACGTCGGAGACCTTATAAAGTGTATATCAATGGGATTACAAAAATCGATTTAGCCATGCCCTCTGACTCTCTGTCTGTCCATCCGTCCTTGCAAGCTGGAACTTGAGTAAAAATGAAACTTGGTATGCGGGTCACTGGCAAAAAAATTACGAGTTCGTAGATGGGAGCAATCGGACCACCGCAACGCCCACAAAGCCCCACCGAAAAAGTATAAAGTGCCGTAACCAAAGGCTAAATTAAGATATAAAACTCGAATTTGCTACAGAGGATCGCAGTAGCAAGGGACATTGGCAAAAGTTTTTTTTAAAAAGTAGCCCGTCCCTCTAATAAGTTAAATGTATATATTTCTTAAGCTACTTAAGCTCCAACAACCAAATTTACCTAGCGCAAATATAATAAGAACTCCTACAGAGTGAAAATAGATGAAATTGGATAATAACCTCGCTCACTGTCCATATAGCGGTTCTGTTAAAATCTACTAAATCAATAACTAAATACGTCAAGGACATTAAATTTTACCCTCGAAATGGTATGAGAGTTTTAAAGGAGCCGGTGTCAAAAAGGGGTGATGGGCTACACCGCCCACTTTTAAGTAAAATCACATACCTCAAGATCCGCTCTACCGATTTCAATAAAATGTTATATATTATTTTATGTTATAGTATTAAAACGGGCACCACGCCTACGATTTTAATTTCATTTGAAACTTTAACTTTAATACAAATCAAGACTGAATAAATATAATAGAATAAAACTCTACAAGAATTGTGGATCTGAGGCATCTTATGACTAGAAATTACGTAAACCGAACCAAACTGTACCCCTAAGTACTCAAAATGTGGACCCAGTGCTTATACTTTTTACCGAAAATATCGGCCAATGTGGAGATATATAATTGAAATACAGAGAGTTTCAAGAGTATAAAATGTTCGGTTGCACCCGAACTTGGCGCTTCCTTACCTATTTTAATATTATTATTATACTTTTTTTTTTTTTTTTTTTTTTTTAAAACTTTATTGCCATTTGTTTTTTTATATAAATATATTTATATCTTTTAAATACCGATGCAATAAAATAAAGAGAATTAATTATTATGAACTCAAAAACCTATAAATTATACTGTTAGTTTCGATCGCACTGCGTATTAACGTGCCATTAATAAGCAAGTGTATCACATTTACGTGTTTTACATTTCAACTATTTTGCTTAAAACGTTTTAATTGCGTTCTTCCCTTCTTGCTATCACAAATTTATGCCGATATACAAATGCTTACACATGGTGACATAGATTACTAATAAATAAATTTTTGTATTTTTTCGAAATAAATAAATTTTTGTATTTTTTCGAAATTTCTTATGCCACTCACATATGCTGCGTAGAAATGGCGTGTTTTCAAAGAGATCACCGAACTATTCATACTCGTGCCGTCACTGCTTGGCCTGAAGGGCAATCTCGATATGTGCCTCGCATCACGTCTCTCCACACAGGTCAATTTGGGCAATATGACGTCACGTAAAGAAGTCATTCGTATGATTGTCGGCAATATAGCATTGGTTCAAGTGCAGGCGACGGTGGCGTCCTTTTTGGTTGCAATGTTTGCCATTGTTGTTGGTTTGGCGATGGATGGCACATTCTTTTTTGAACATGTTATGCTGCTGATAGCGTCCGCTATGTTTACGGCGACCTCATCGTGCTTTGTTTTAGGTAGGTTCCGGCAAAAAATATTGCAAAATAAATTATATGAATATTACTTATATGTATATGCTCTAAGCACTTTTATGACAGCTTTTAATAACTATTAATATTTTTTTTTGCAGATTTTGTGTTAGTGGCTGTGATATTATTGTCTGAAAAATTCAATTTAAATCCTGATAACTTAGCAACACCGTTAGCGGCATCTATCGGTGATGTCGTTTCAATAAGCTTGCTCTCCTTCATCGCTTCATTACTTTTCGATCACATAAGTGAGTAAAAATTTACCAAGTTACAAAATACCAAAACAAACACTTTTATAATATTGCTTTATTGAAAGAAGCCTCATTTCTAACTATTTTTATTTATTTTATTTTCTACAGAAACTCATTTATGGATCACATTTGTTATAGTCGCTTGTTATTTAGTGCTTTTACCCATGTGGGTTGCTATTGTGCTCAAAAATAAATATACTCGTCCGGTATTGAAGAGTGGCTGGGTTCCGGTACTCTCTGCGTTGTGTATAAGTGGGTGAGTAATAAACATAAATATTTGTATATATTTTGTATTTTTTATATACTCGTACAAGAATAAGATAGTTTAAATCCAATTCTGCACTGAATAGTTTCGCTTATGAAAACTCTAAATATGTATATAGAAAATTTATTAAATTAATACAAGCCAAAGCGATAAAAGCCGATTTACTATTGCCTCTAAAGCAAATCGAATATAATTTTAAAGAATAAACTTAATAATACTACATTCTTAGACTTAAATATTTAGAATTAATATATTAGCTTGTCAAAAAAGTCTTGCGGTATTTTCGCTAGTTGGCTGAGAGCCCGTAGTTCCAGTTTTATTCGTCGCATCGGGTCATGCTGTACCTTTTTGGAAAGCTCATTTCAGGCGCTAACACATGTGTGATTGATTGTCGATTCTTTTAAGTCGTTTGTGAGTTATAGCGTTGCAAACAGGGAGCAAAATAAAGAGAAAATACGGCATATTTTACAGTACTACTACGATAAAAGCAAAAATGCATCTCAAGCCGCCAATAAAATTTGTGCAGTTTATGGACACGATACAGTTTCCATTTCCGCCGCACAACGATGGTTTCAACGTTTTCGTTCTGGTGTAGAGGTCGAAGATGCGCCGCGCTCTGGAAGGCCTATCGTCGAAAACTGCGATAAAATCGCTGAATTGGACGAAAGAAACCGACATAGTAGCAGCCGTAGCAGCGGTTAAGAGCTGGGCATGAGTCATCAAAAAAAATGTATGAACTATTGAAAATTCAATCAAATACCGCTAGACTTTTTTGACAACCTAATATTAGCGTTTCTTTAAAAGTTACGTATACAACCTGTAGTACGTACATATATCCAATCAAATTTGACCCGGACTGATTCATTTAAAATTCTTAAGCAAACCAAATCAATAGAAAAATTTACTGAAAGCACTGAATGTCACCTAGCGGAGGCTTATAACAAGTGTGTGGAAAATTAGTATACGCGTTTACGTCTACTATTGTAGATTTTTTTTGTTAAATTTGATCAGATAGTATAATTGAATTTTTAAGTGGAACTTTAGCTCCGGTTCGACTTTAAAAAATTATTAAAAAAAATATAAAAACAAATTGATTATAAAAAATAAAACCAACATAAATAATTTAGAAATAATAATAATAACAAAAATGTTAACAAACTTTTCTAAACACATGCCTAAATGCTTAACACTCAAAACAATACCAAAAACAACAAATAAAATAGAAAGAGAAGTAGAAATATAAATAAAAACAGTTCATAATTTTTAGGTCTCAGGTCATAAATTTAAAGTAGAACTTTGCTCAGAGGCACTTAAAGTAATTTAAGCACACTTTGACGAAAAAGAAAAGCAAAAGAGGTAAAAAACATTCAAAAAATCATGCATGTGTAACTGGAATTGACGTCAGGCACTTACTTTTATATTTACGTATGCTTAAATTTCGTAAAAAACTGACAAAATCTCCAACTCATTTGTAGTAGCAATTTTCAAATGTATAAAAAAAAAACTATAAATAAATTCAGTGCTCGAAAAGTTGCCAACAAGTATCCACTTGTGAAGCTTATTTACGTAAGCGTAATAGATCTGAAGATTAGATTTAAGAATAGAATGAAAGCGCTCTTTAAAATTAGTGATTACAAAAAAAGTCGATCTACATGACGTATACGCAACTTCTTTATTCTCATATATTTATTATTATAATTTTTTGCTTTGATTGAAATAAATATTTTGCTTTTAATATTATTTTTTTGATTTATTTGAAATAAATATTTTGGTTTTTATACTCTCGCAACAATGTTGCTAAAGAGAGTATTATAGTTTTGTTCACATAACGGTTGTTTGTAAGTCCTAAAACTAAACGAGTCAGATATAGGGTTATATATACCAAAATGATCAGGGTGACGAGTAGAGTTGAAATCCGGATGTCTGTCTGTCCGTCCGTCCGTCTGTCCGTCTATCCGTCCGTCCGTGCAAGCTGTAACTTGAGTA